TAAATAAAAAATATTATTGTCATTTAAAAAATGTAATTGTCATTGTCTCATTGACAATTACATTTTTTTTTTTAATTTATATAAACAAAAGTGTAATTGTCAATAAGACAATGACAATTACATTTTTTTATAGACACCACTACTTTATATTTACATATAACGTAGTGGTGTCTATAAAAAATCGTCGTCACACTCAACGTCAAGCTTACCGCTGTAGCGGTACAAGCGGATAAAAAAAAATAATCATAATACCTTCTAGTATTATGACTATTTCTTTTTTATCCATCCGTCAGGTAAATTATTGGAGAATATTAAATACGTATTTTTATTTTCAATAAATTACAGTGATACATTGAGTCCGATGTCGCATGACGTCAAACCATTGTAAATCCACCCCATCCTCAACGTTCATGCCTATTATCTGAGCTATTTCTTATTTAAAGCTTGCTCTACAAATACAAATAAACTCTCGACGCGGTCATACAAAAGAAGCTCGGACCGCCGATGCGTCGCTTTTTATTGTTATATTTATCGTTTTTATTGAAAAAGAATAATTAATATGCGCTTAAAAATTATGAAATTTCAATATGAAGTTATATTTATTCTGCTACAAATGTTGTTCAATAATATTAACTTAAAAAAAATACGACGTAATTACGAGTAACTTATAGCAATTTTCGAAGTTTTGTTACTAATAATAAGATTTTTTTACTATATTAAATCATTTTGAAGCCGCTTCGAACTATACGACTATTGAGATAACATTATCTTTTTTTAATTTCATTTATTTAGACCAGTAGCTCAACCTAGAAACTTAAAAACGTATTTTATGAAAGTCTTTCTATACGATTTTAGGTTTCATTAAAAAGTAAAGTACAATTTACAAAAAGCCGAGCCGCTAGGAAAATGCCAATAGTTATTCTACACTATTCATAAAGTCAAATATAGCCTATAAATAAATATATAAATAAATATTAAATATATAAATAGAGCCCATTTTAAGAAAAATTCGCTGTCAAAAAGTAATAGAGCTTTTAAATTAAAACTAAAAAATACGTATGTTATATTTTTCTATTATCTGATTGATGGACTAACTAAAATATATTATTTTTTACCCAGGCATCAACCCTATTTCTAATAAATATAACTTACTTCAAAATGTAATAAAGCTTTTAGTTTATCGGATCTGTATTCTGCTCGACTTAAACTCAGGACTGGATTTATTACAGAAAAGCAAAGCAAAAAAAATTAAATGATCTCGAATTTTTAACTTCACTTTATGAATCATCACCATAATCAGTTCTGAATTATCTTCTGAATCACAGGCATCATCATCAGTTCGCATAATGTCGTCATTGCCAGAGGCCTTCCTTAGTGATGTGTTTCTACAGCGAGAATTAACAATAACCTAACACTCTTGCGTAGGCCATCCAATGACCACCTTTGCGAATGTTGCTTAACTATATATAAACTCAACGCGCTAACCACTACGCCATTAATCTTGTCATCGAATATAGGCCTATAATGCAATAAAGTGACGATTTGGCTAGTTTGAATACACTAATATAATGTTAACTTTTAAACTTATGTTACATCTAAAACTTTGCTATTCCCGTATGAAACAACAGTTAGGTTAAGAGCCCTATTAGATCTCGACTATGATCTTTACATAAAATGGAATAAAATAGAACAGAATAACTATTGGCATAGTCGTTGGCAGCTCCGCTTTTTGTAAATGTACGTAATCGTTTAATTAATCCCAAAATTGCATAGAATGATTTTCATAAAATACGCGACGGCACATTCTCCAAACAAATAAAATTAAAACAAATTGATTATTATCACTTAAATAGTTGTATAGTTCATGGCAGGTGATTTTTTTAAAATTTATCATTATTAAATTATTTCAATAAAAATAATAAATATAACTGCAACATTACCACAAAATGTGATGCACTAGCCGTCCTGGCTTAGTTTGTTCTGCCGTGTAACGAGATTATTTGTATTTGCAATAGAGCTCTTAAAGGTCGGTACAGATCTGACGGAAGATCCGTCAAGTTCACGACGGATTATCCGTCGTGTGTTTAAGGTTGTGTGTAATATCATATATTTGTCTGTTCTGACGTTCCGCGACCGACGAGAAGCGATGCATTTTCCATCAGATATGCACCATCCCTAAATGTTAGGATTACCCGTTTCCAAAACATTAGCTCTCGAAGCTTCCAAATATTTCTCATACAAATCCTGTATTAAATCCTCCTCAAGTTTTTCACCGATCACTGAACAATATTCGAATTTTAAAACTAACATCATCACGTAGAATACTTCTACACGTCTTATGTAGAACAAACTCATTGCACTGTAAACCAATACAACAACTAAATTCGTAAGCGTGACGTGTGAAATGCTTCGTCGGGATTAATCAAAGCGGAAATGCTAATTGGAAATTGTTTTAAAAATATAATATATTTTTGTTAGACCACTTTCTGAGTAGGAAATTGATAGCGCAATGGTTAAAGCTTTCGATCTGCAGAAGTTAAGCAACTTTTAAAAAGAATGGGCATAGGATGGGTGACCGATAATGTATTGTCTCGACTATTTCTTCCGTATTTCGGAAGGAACATATATACCAAATCACTAACTTTCAGCTAGATAACACAGTACGGAATAAGTGTAAACACCGCGAAATAAGTTATTATTCAATATGAGTTAATTAAATTTTAGGTTTCTGTCACCGCTAAATTGTAAATTTATAAAATTTTGTTGATTGAAAATTAATAACAACGTCAACGCTAAAATTAAAGTTTTACCATTTCTTGTTGTAATTATATTTTTATAAGGAGTATTAAGTAATTAATTCAAAACTGATATGATAGAGGCAGTCTTTTGGCTTTACGCCCCTGTAACATCATAAACCTGCGACATATAACTTTTACATATATCGTTCTCATATCAGTAAACTAGGCTGATAAAATTGTTGCTGAATATTATAGGTATGTACGTTACACCTAGAATTTCAGGAATAATCAACCAAAATCTTCCATACCATTTAGCAGTTTTTGATAAAAAAAATTGCCGGATAATCTCAGAATTATATAAAATAAAAAAAAAATCTTCTGCCTGTCTAAACTTTTCCTTCAACCTAGATTTTTGATCAAAATCCTACTTTATGACTTACCTACATCATGATGTGCCACGAATATTTTTGGTTTTTCGTAATACATCTTCAGACGTTACCTACCTTCGCTGTAAACCTTCATTTTTTATTATTATTAATACCATAGGTTTCGCTCAAAGAGAAAAACAAACATTCCTTATTACTACGCACCGTACTGATTTCAATAACAACTTTTTCACTCTTCTGGCAATACGACTCTGTAACACTTCCGCTATGCTATGCTTTTCTGTTAAAAAGTTGTTAACTTGACTTCGAGCACAGCACTGTGATATCACAGAGCTCCAATGAAATAAAACCTATATTACTATTGGTAACTGATCGATTATATATTATTATGGGTTAAATTCTTTTTGGAAATATCATTGTCGTAATTAATAATACGTTTACTCTTTGGTCTATAAAAATATATTGTTTGTTGATGTCAGCAGGGTTTTATTTCGCTGTTTCTAATTTTATTAAGAGTCTTTATCACTTGGTCCTTCGTTATAATTTCTATGGCATGAAAAATGGGTCTTGCTGACCTCAACAGGGGAGTAGCCGAAGCTGATGCCACTTTTGTCCGCACCTCCGGGGGCAGTATGGTAACAGATTTGGTTCTGCCTCCCGAAAGTATTGACATGAACAATTTACCTCCCCAGTAGACTAGCATCCTTTCAGCCGCCGCCCATGCAGGTCTCGCATCACACGTCGTTTACGTCCGCTCGTGCTGTGAAAAAATTGACTGTGGAGGCAGAGCTACATCATCCGCAGTTGGAGCGTGACCGCGAATATGAACTCAAGTGTCGAGGGGTAGAGGTGTCAGAGTTGGATCAAACATTCGCCGAACTAGACTCGGAACCTTTAGGTCAGAGTAGCATTGCTTCAACTCGTATTTCACGTACACAGTTCTGGGTTAAGAGTGTCGTGAATGAACCTCATAATAACTAAATGTGCCAATCGTTGCGCTAGCCATCCCCATACTGCAGCTAGCAGCACCCTTCTTTAATAACGTGGATACACTTACGTTTAGCGGTTTTCTTTGAAATCAAATTGTCTTAGTCGCATAATGTGATTCTGTCTTTCAAAGTTTAAGTCCAAGAATAGCCTTTCCCCCATTTCAATCAAGATACATAAAGGTTTCCTTACTCTGAACTCTCAATTAAAGATACAAACCTGGATAATCCTTGACGGCCCCTGCACTTCATAGTTCGCCTGCTTACCGCTAAATGCCAGAAAACGGATCTTGGCTTCCATGGATTTATGATCGATTACTTCTACTTTGGATTTAAAGAATATAGCGAGAATATTCGCAAATATTATTCTTGATTATTTCGAACCAAAGTAGCATTCCAGAAAAACGATACGCAATCGAGAAAAACGATATGTTGCACTTTACACCTGCATATCCTGTCTTACCTCGCCATCGTCGCTAGCCCCTTACCACAGAAGCAGAGTTGATGAATTTGCCGCATTTCCTTGCTAGAAAAGGTTCTATGACAAAGATTTATAGTGACTATGATACACTATACGTTGTTTCGAAGAGAGAACTGAAAGCCCTATTTGGCCGTCCCGACCAAGAGTTTGCAGTCAACAATATAATACATTGGTTGAAAGATAGGATAAACCGGGGTTCCCCCAGCTGCACTTTTATCGGCGGGGCATGGGAAAGAATGTTTCAGTCCGTTAAGACCACATTCAAGATTACGCTTTGTGGTAAAGCTTGAAAGGAAGAAATTATTCACATGTTTCTAGTGGAAACAGAAGGCCTCGTAAATTCACGGCCGTATTCAGGTACAATTTATTAGAATGTATCCCGGCCAAGACAACACTGTACGAGTTGTGGATGTCAACACGAAACGAGGTGCTGAAGCGTGCAGTGAAGAACGATCAGTCGCCACACCCGTGTTCTGCACTAGAGAAATATAATCGCAAAAAGTTTTCGCCGGTTAGATATTATATTATTTTAAGTCTTGGGTCACAGGAATATATATATATTATTTTATTTATGATCTTGTGGGTTTCGGAAATCAATCAAAGTCATTGTCAAAATAAATGATACTTTTTGCTCTATAAAAATATATTGTTCGTTGGTGTCAGCAAGGTTTTATTTCGCTATTTCTTTTATAGTTTTTAACAAGCAGTTTTAATATTGTAATTGCCTTTGTAGTAGGTAAAATAAATAAATATCTTTTCGGCGTACTCTTTTCGACTTCAAAAAATTATACGTGTTAGAACCATTTACAAAAAGTTTTTTTATTTTACTTGGATTTAAACGCAGACAATATTTACTTATGTAGTCCACTGATGATGTTTTTTTTCTATATATATATGAATTCAGAGTTGAGATATTTTTATTTAACTCTTCAAATACTCCTTCTTATCTCACCTCTCATTTTTACTTAAATGTTGTGTACGTTGTACAAGTTGCGTAGCTTTCAGTTCATCATCATCATCAGCCGTAAGACGCTCACTGCTGAGCATAGGTCTCCCCCATAGATTTCCACAACGATCGGTCCCGCGCAGCCCACATCCAGCGGCTTTCCTTCTATAAAATCGTCGGTCCACCTGGTGGGAGGCCTACCCAAAGAGCATCGTCCGGTACGTTGTCGCCATTCCAGAACTCTTCTGCTCCAACGGTCATCAGTTCTTCTCGCTATGTGTCCCGCCAATTGCCACTTCAGCTGAGCAATTATTTGAGCAATGTCAGTAACGTTAGTTCTTCAACGGATTTCCTGATACCTAATTCGATCGAGAGATACCAAGCATTGCTCTCTCTATTGCCCGCTGGGTAACCTTGAGCCTTCATATGAGACCACAGTGAACGACCACGTTTCGCTTCCGTAAGTCATCAAAGGCAACATACACTTATTGAAGACTTTGGTCTTGGGACACTGTGGTAATTTGGACGTGAAGATTTTTTTGTAACTTCCCGAACGCTGCCCATCCGAGCTGTATTCGACGACAGATGTCTTTCTCGAAGTTGGACTTGCCTAGCTGGACTGTCTGACCTAGGTACACATAATGGCTGACAACTTCAATAGTAGTATTCCCAATTTTAACTGGAGTGGGTTCAACATGGACATTTGACATGATTTTTATCTTATCCATGTTCATCTTAAGACCCACTCTTTGGAATGCACTACTGAAATCTTCAAGCATGTCAGGTCTTCCAAGGTCTCAGCTATCTGTTGGAACAGGTAAATTAGTCAAACCTTTAGTTGTCTATATTATTTGTAAATATATTTATAGGTATATATGTATTTATGAACATATTGTGTATATATGGTTTATATATGTTTTGTGTATGTATGACTATGTATATATTTATAAGTTTTGTTTCATCATCTATATCTCAACATCAATTGTGCACTCACCACATCTTAACAACACATCTCCCATCCGGTTGACTGATGGAAAATACCTACGGAATTAAGTCCGCCTATGCATTATACATGAAGTGTTAAATAAATAAACTTATCTAAACTATATAAAAATGAATATAATGTAGGCACGTAAAGTAAACGTTAATTAAAAGAATTAATTAAAAATTAGCTTCAATGCTGTTAGATTACTCTATTATATTTTAATGATGTTTAAAGATAGCTTCAAGGTTAGGATGGTCGGTCAAGTTCTTAAGTTAAAGGTCATACGACGGGACTAAAGTAGAGACATACTTGACCTACAATCAGGACACGATGAAACGCGTAGTGACGTAAGAAACTCAACTTTTTAAACGATATTTCGTTACCATTTCTAAAACACTTAAAAATAGTGTCTAAATCACCTTTTTCAATACACTTTTGCGTTAACTACAATATGTATATTTTCCCAATTAATTATGGGATAATTCATGCAAAAAGTAGGAAAAAATTAGAATTATTTTAGTGTGGTAAACTAAAAATTACAACAAAAGGCAAAATAGAGTCCTGGGCTTTCAACTTTCATCATCGACAGTCGATTGTAGATAGGTATACAAGATCCAGCGCCCCCTAGGTACAAAATATTAAATTATACCCATTGTATATGTAGATGATTGAATAGTAAAATTAGTATTAGTTTTTTTATCATTTCTTTCTTCATTGATCATTAAAATATAGATTTTATAGTTAATAATTAAAATATGTAGAAGCCGGGAGAGGCGGAAAATCAACAATATGACGAAAATGCCATAAAACCGACGAGCATGTATGAAAGAGTATGAAGAGATAATCTGGCAGCGCGTCGTCTCTTTTTTTATGTCGTCCCATCCGTTTCTGTCGTTCAGAACTGTCTTATGCTAGAGCGAGAAAGATATTTCTCCTATAGCCTCGACGATTCCGTGGCATGCACATCCGCTAGCTTTCTCATTCTAGCAAATGACGGTTTTGAGTGACAGAAAAGGATAAGGCGACGGACAAAGGCAATATAATAAATCAAAATACGTGTGTAACATGTTATACCGTATTTTCTGGCGCTCTGTTTGTCAATCATCATCCAATTAATCTCCACACAACAAGGACATAGGCTTTCCTTATGGGTTGAATGTAATCGAATAGAGAGAGCGATTAGCCACCGGACACCGGACCCAATGCGGATTGGTAGATGCAAACGACTGCAAATGCACCCGAAATCAACTGCTTAACGTGCCAAAGTACAATGGAGTTCGAGATAGTAATTTTTGATCATCCATCCTATGACAGGCCCTTGCAAAAGTAGTTTAACTTCCATAACGCAGACCGAAAGCCATCGAGCTCTAATAATTAATAATAATTGTTAATCAGGCCGTCACCATAGAAGAGTACGGCGTGTACACAATGCTTCCGGCGCAGCAGCTGGCGCCGATAGCGCCGTGGCCGCCGGACGGCAACCTGCTCGACCGGATGGACGACCTCGCTCACAAAGGTAAAGGTAATGGTGACCGCCATCTTTATTACAACGGTCTCTATCTCATTCGATAAAGGAAAAGGAGAAAAGTAATAATGTTAGGTTACTGATAACATTAATAATTGATGTAGTTCTAAGCTCTATAGATTAAGTCGAATGCACCTAAGTCAAATTACTCAAGATTTTTCTTTTATTTTTGATTAATGAAAGTTTTTATATCGGTTCTTTCCACATACGTTTGTTGTTTGATTTCATTCCTTCTTTTGTTCTTATAAACACTAGTGCGTGAATAAATTTTTTAAATTATAACTCTTAATTAAATCCTAATTATTATGCAATGAACGTATATATCTACACTCATTATAAATAATACACTTTATCCTATAAAATCAAAAACTCTATATGTTTTCAAACTATAAAATTTGGTGAAATGTTTGATCGTGAATCAGAATCACCCAATAGTTTCAAATTCAATTAATTGCACATAAAACTACTTAACGCCAAATTGTACTCCAAAATACATGCCTAATTTGACTAATTTAATTTACGTATTCAGCATAATTAACATAATTATATATATACATACCTTATATTATATTCTATTATATGGTTCACGGGCCACTGATTATCTTTCTAATTATTTTTTGAATTCATTTATCTCTATCTATCTAATCTAAAAGAAGAACAGCAAAGATTTAGACAACTTGTTGCTTTATTGAGTGTAAATGGTTTAGCGATAATATAAAAAAAAAGTTATTAATGCCTCCCGCGTCTAGAAAAAAATATAAAAACTTTTAAAGTTTTGACTTTGTTGTGTTGGCTAAAGTGTTGAAAACTTTTACTAGTTGACATTTAAAATGTCAACTAAACATTTAAAAAAGGTGATAAAATGGTATAATTTAAAACCTTGAGAAAAATTACGTTAAGATTTTTTTAATAGATTCTTTTTTTTTAATAAAATTATATTTTATTCTGACCAATTTATTGTCCAAATGTTGTAGTTGACTATATATATATATATATTTCAAAGTATATGCACTACTGGTTAAGGCGTGATGTTTGATTGAAAACGAGAATCGCATATCTGCGCCTTAATTGGAGTAAGCAGGCTTATGGTGCGGCAGGTCACAGCGGTGTTAACCAGCTCGGCGGCGTGTTTGTAGGAGGGAGGCCGCTGCCGGACTCCACGCGGCAGAAGATCGTTGAGCTGGCGCACTCGGGAGCGCGGCCGTGCGACATCAGCCGCATCCTGCAGGTCTCCAACGGATGCGTCTCCAAGATACTCGGCAGGTCAGTTCCTCACCGAACACAGGAAGGTTGGAGGCTATGGTTAAGGAGCAGCGATATCAAACAAAAAATATTCCTAGTTAAAAACTTGCTTACTTATAAATATAGAGGAAAATTCAAATATTATATAAATAGACTGTATTATTGTGTGTGGAGTTTAGAACAAAAATGGAATCTTCTGTGTTCTGTCTTGTCGGCTTACTCAATCGTGTTGTAGCCCATTTCACGTATTACTTGAATCTACATCAATAAAGTAACTTAACATCATCAGAGGATATGTAGGATCGTGGTGCCTGATTATGTAACATAACCCTCTAACTGTATCCATAACAACGTTCCTAAAATCACTTACTGCTCTCCGAACATCTTATAATACTCAAAACTAAAACTTTTTCAAGTTACTCTATATTCGGAAAAAACAAACTTGCTTCAAGTATAAAATATAGATATTTATAGACCTACTTGTATCATTTTAGGGAAGAAATACCTTCATCAAACGACACGTTTTGAACTAAACCAATTGTATTGTAGGCATCGTCGTTCCAATCATTTGAAACTAAACACCATTTAAAGATCGGAATAGTTGTCCAGACCGCAAGTATGAAGTAGACAAGCAATTCTATACGGAACCATTCCAAAAATGTTGTCCGTAAGGTATATCGCGTTTAACTGGTCGCGACCGCAGCTGACAGGGCGGGTGGCTGCCTTAACCGCATGTTTTGAACTAGAACATAGACTAGTATAGGCCGGTTATGTAAAGATTAAACTATGTAATGCTCTATGCCGTTGATTTTAAATATGATACTATGATAAACATTGTTTTATTAAAAAAAAAGCTTCCTAACAATACAGACTTAGGGTCGGTGCAATATATAACAAGATTTGAGAAGTATTAATATTTCATCATTCGAGAAGTGTACCTTATTATAATTGTCAATTCTGTAACAAAATCTTTATTAACTTATAGCTTTTGTTTGATTGTACCTCTAATTCTGTAACTGCACCATGTTTGACGCTGCTGTCGATGCTCCATTACTGATAACTAAGCTGGAATAGAAAATTCGAGAATTAATTAATTAATAAAAATGTAACTCCACTGAGTAAAATTGATATCCTATGTTGAACAACTATGAGTTTAAAGTAATTTTGTCATTGTTACTGCAAATCCTTGTATTTTAGCTTACACAATTTAAATCGGCCTATTTTAGCTTATACAATAACTTTATGATTTAACACTGTAAGTTCATGTTACTGTTGCTCTGGGGTAAGCGTAAACTTGAAACTGTGGAAACATAAAGCTTAGATTTTATCTTAATTTAAACCATTTTAAACAAAAATACTTAAGCAAATGGCAATAAATTCGCAGTTTTATTAATCTATATATCTAATAATACATTAAATGCTTACATAAGTAAAAAAATATTAGAATTTAGTCTCATTACTTTGGTGATATTGTATCGATACGTGATGAATGAAGGCTGGTATCATATTACGGACAATATAACACGTTCATTTCAGTGACATTGAAATTATCAATTAATTATTTCATTTGCGGTTACAATCTTTAATTATTCGTATTTCATTTGCACAATGTAATAAAGGTAATGAAGAAATAATTTATGACGAAACAAGAATAAGATACAGCAATTTTTGCTTACTTGTCACGTTTTATTTGTGTTAAAAATAAATAAAAAGACGACAAACAAGATTTTACTTTTTAATTTTAAATGAAGTTACAGTTATGTAGAAAAATAAAAAAATATTTGTGATATATTTTTAGACGAGTTGAAGGTGCAAGAAGTCACTTCGATAATACTATATTTTGCTAAGAATTATCAATATTAAATATACTTTTGACTGGATAATAAGTACACAAGTTAATTATATACTAAGATTTAGAAATTATAAAACAAATTGTTCCAATTTTTAAAACAAATTATTTTAAATACAAATCTACTAAATCAATATTACTAATTACTTATTAACAATATTATGAAAGTAACAACTGAAAGTAATTTCTATTTATTCATATCAAATAGAAAGTAATATCAAACGAAAAGAAAATTTCATTATTTACATTTGTAAAATATACTAAATATTTTTTTATATTTAAAACAAAAGGGCCAAACTTGAAGGCCGTATGCAAATAATATCAAGAGACCATTCCCGAGAATCGAATCCGATACTGCGAAGCCGAAACCGGATATTCGACCACCGCATCGCAAAGTGCCTATACTTCTAAAAATATTCGCTATTGGTGCCAATTCTGTCTTTCGTCCACATTTGAAAATAATTTTTTTTGAAACTATTTAACGTTATTTAATCAAAAAATATAATTATTCGATATAATTAATTATTTCTTTTCTGTTAAGTAATTTGTTTTCTGCCCTGCATCGAAAGCTCTATCAATATTTATTTTCATTCAAAATTTAAAAAAAAATGTCCTTGAAATTGTTTACGTTTTTTACGTACATAAATATTATAAAAAAAAATTATAACGATTGGAGAAATATGATATAAAGCAAACCTGCTCTAGTTAATTAAATATGGCTGCTATTTTGTAGTTGGTGTATTTTTTTATTAATTGTTCTTTGTATGGGTTGAGTGACCACACACCAAAATTATAAGAAGTTGAATGATAAATCTTGAAATGTTAAAAATAAGTTTTATTGCGTAATTAATTGTAAATACTAATTGATGAGTCGCGAGTTGAATGTGGACTGACTTTACATACCTAACGAATGTCAAAATTAAATAAAATTATGACTCTAATACAATTAAAATGTAGGTCATTAGACCGTACATTCTTATTACAAACATATTTGTGTCTTGTTATTATAGTTATGATCTGTATCCTAATGTGATATTCTCGGTTAATCTTTAAGTACATTTAAAATTTCAACGGGTGTGTCAGAAAACTTAATATAAAATATGTTCAGTTACATTTTAAAAAGTTCATAACCTGAAATCGTCTCTGAAAATACATCTATATTGGTAAACTCGCATATCAATTAGACAGCAAGCCTCGACGTTCATTCTTTCCATGATTTGCGAACGAAAACAGAAGATGACATTTTCATTCGTAATTCGCAATCCAAACAAACATATTGTGTGAAATTTGGGGACACAAACAATCATGAATAAATGTAATAAATATTTTCATTTTTTAACTGCACATAGTTGTTAAGTGTAACCGACAGACGAGGTCATTATTTTGTTAGATGTACTTAAAAATCAACGTTGTCTAACACAGTTTCAAATTTAACTTACGATGCAGTGTTTTCGTCAGATTTCCAAGAGTCTTCAGATAAGTGTTTACCCTTACCGCTCTCTAACTTAAACCTTTTTCTCTTGAGAATGTTGTCTATATCCATTATATATTTTCGAATACCGTGGTTCCGGAGATCACCTTCCATATATAAATAAGAAACTCGATAGTGCAGTGATTAACCCATTCGGTCGGAGAATGCAAAGGCTAAACAATTAAAAATACCTCGAGTCCCTTTGCTTTTCAGCTGCATCTGTAGATTAATTTAAATATAGATTTTGTCCCTAAAAAGTACTATGTTACAGGTATTACGAAACGGGGTCTATCAGACCACGTGCTATAGGAGGATCAAAACCAAGAGTAGCCACCGCCGAAGTCGTCAGCAAAATCGCGCAATATAAACGAGAATGCCCCTCAATCTTTGCATGGGAGATTAGGGACCGCCTGCTCAGTGAGGGGGTGTGCACCTCGGATAACATTCCCAGTGTAAGTACAATTTTCTTACTAGACTTATTAGTTTACATGTTTGTATTAAGTTGTTAAGAAGGTAACTGAATAACTTGACTTTAACGTGACGTCGGCTGGATTGCCCAATAATAGCAGTTATATGTGTCATGGCATGACAAGTCTTACTGACTTTAACATTGACTATGGAATGCGTTGCATATGCATCCTTTTTCTTGGCATAGTAAAACAATAACTAACCAGCGAACCATGGGCGGATACAGATAAATATATGATATCATCTAACCGTTGCCAATTTGTTTTGCTAACTGGTACTTATAGCGTGTCTATTATTGTTAAAGTAAGTTGGTGTAACCGACCCTTATTTTTAAGTATATATATATACGTAGTTTTATGTTTATTTGTTTATTATACAAACACTAAACTAAGGTAATCGTGAATTTTACATTTAAGTAATATTATTACAAAATAACATATACACGGTACGGTACATGCAAAACTTAATTTTATTGCCTACTTATCAACTTAATATGTGCAGCTTAATATAGCTTACCGTGTGATTGCCACCAGTGTTTTTCATGAAGATACTTTGATTTTATAAGTCGTTACATTTTAATATAAATATCGAATTTATTAAATATATCTATTATTTTATTTGATATATTTATCATACATAAAAGATATAACAATAGCTTAAACTCGTATACATGAGTTTAAGCTATTGTTATATCTTTAAAAACTAAAAGAGTAATATTTGCGTAAAGCTCAATAAAAAATTATGAAAAAATTATATACAAAAATGTATTTGTGATAAAGTTCTGTTACATCAGTGCGTCGTAAAATTCAATATTTGGTTATGAGAGACAACCCTAAACTTTTTATACGAACCATAAAAGTCTCTTATCATAAACAAAACGCCGATAATATTTTTTATTATGATCAAAAACACATTTTTATTTTTCACCTTATTTCTAACTAAGATGTATATGTATAAAAAATATATTTTAATATTTCTAACCTTTTTAAGCGGAAAATTCTTCTTTTGATATAATTTGACACACAAATAGTTCGTAATTTCGAAAATAATCCAAAACTCGACTTACCCGTGTCAATACTGGCATGAATTACCCAACGTTGTTTATTTGTATCTTGTTATAAGTATAAGATGTATTCTTCGTATAATAAAATTTTATATCAAATAAAAAAAACAAGAAATTCAGAGAAACAAACAAATCTGACGCGATTAATATCTGAACACCGTAAGAAATATTTGCCCAATATCTTTGAAGCTCAACACGTAACGTTTTTCCGTAACGCCTGAAATAAGTATACATTTTTATAGAAAAGAGGTCTGTCTTTAAAATACAATAGCGTGCTAAGAGATATACCAAGCTATAACCGCCTATAAATTTGCGATATCTTCCTTTTTATAGTAGTGACTCCATGTTAAGTCAAATAAGTGGAAAAATGATTTTTCTTAAAAATTTGTATTAAATATTTTTCATGAATCAAATCTTTATCTTAACGCAGAATTTTTAAGTATCGTTACTTTTCATGTTGTTTTTTATTTCAACATGATATAAACATCAAAATTTAAGACAGCCAGTATTAACAAGTATTGTGCTTTGAATTGTACCCATGTGTTACATGTAAAGTCTCATATAAAGCAGTACGTAGGTGATTATTTTACCCAAAATCCCAGCAGAAAAAATGCTGTTTCAAATTGAAAAATTACTTGATCGACTTTACATCACAAAATTGAAAATGTATAATACAGAACAAAAAAAATAAGTAATCTAAAGCAAACCGTCTGGACACGCGGCAAATAATTATCAGAAAAGTAGTTATTAGTTTTTCTTAAAATTTCATACAAACTGTAAAGCGTGGTCACCCCGCCACTACAGCCGGCCCCCCTTCACCCACCCGCCCGCTTCGTGGCAAAACAATATGACGTTATAACTTTTTCCTTCATTTTTCCCCTTTTTGAATACGGCCGCTCCCCTAAGAGACATTCTTTAGACTTCGATACTCGATATAAAGGCTGATGCTTTTACTGTAATATCGTTTAGATATCCCATATTTACACGTACACCTAAATAGTTATACGAAAAATCACACTTTTGATACAAGAATATTATAAAAAAACGCCTCTGACGAGTGATAGTAAAAATTATGGACTGTTCAGAAATACTTTTACGTAAGTTTTTTGGATAAAGATTATTATACACTTTATTGATACTGGTTAACTTGAATCAGTTAGCTGACATATTCAACTACCGTTAATCTCATTCATAACCTTGGATCGAGATCAAAAGTCAATTATTAATAATAAATAATATAAAGATATTGATGCATTTCCTTCATACTCTTTTTATAGTTATGTTTAAATATATTAATAGACTTTTATACGGTATCTTATTAATTATAAATATTTATTAAACAAAATGCATTGAGGACCTAAACTGATTTACAACACCCACATTTTTTCTGAAAATTCATTCTATTGTGTTTTTAGTTACTTTTCTAACGGTAAGGTAGAATAGAGACGCAAAACATTATAGCAAATAAGTTTCTATAACTTTTCATCATGAATATCGAGTATCTTTCATTAGTTTCAAAGTATATTTAAAGAGAGAATATCTCTCTTATACTATATAAAAAATAATATTTTGCTCTTCAGTTTTTTCCATATATATTTTAACCCTGCCAAATTTGTACGCCACGTTGATTTAGTAAAAAAGGGGTTCGGTGTAAAATTTGGATAGAATCACGGGACCCGATACAAAATTATTATTTAAAAATCCTTCATAAAATGACAACAACCAAAAAAAAACTGTATTTATCACAGCGCTGAGAAATGCGTTTTCAACTTCTAATTTAATTTGTTTATCCCACCTTTGCGTTAATCATCAAATCGTTAAGCTCTTTAAGACCCGTGAAACTGTGTACAATCAAAATTAACGAAGCGAAAATAGCAACGGGGTTAAACATAAAAAAAATTACGACATTTTAGAAACAAGCACCCTTTTTACTGCGTCGCCGAACATAAATTAATTAAAAAGCACGCGCCATCACCCTGTCGTTGACGTTTAAAAAAACCTCCATAAGTACCTCCAAGATATCGGCAAGAAAAACATAAAACCGAAACAGAGGAGAATCTTCGTGAGGGACGACGTCATTATATTTTGTAATGGGTGCGAAAGAGTTGGCTGTCTGTCTCCTTTTTTCGTCCCTTCAAGAGGGAGCGGTCGATTTTGACACGGCATGAATAAAGAAAATATGAAGGCTTTTGTTACGGTAAAAATTCCTGTACACTGGATAAAGTCTTGACTTATCAGTGAGGGGGCCTTGAGGTGCCTCTGTAGGTATGTAGGTAGGCAAGCGGCATTCATAGGGTTACCTCTCGTTTAAATACATAATCTATGTTTCATTTTTAATACATTGAAATGAAATAGTCACTACCATTAATATCATCGTTTAAAAAAATAACCGGCGTTAAAAGCTGATGAGAGCGAAGTATTTTTATAAGTACTAAGTAAAATAAAAGAGATATTATAAATCATTAATAAAACATTAAGGATTAAATTTATAGGCAGGATTTAAAACATAAGACAGATATTTGATACCTGTTTTAGTCTTCACAAAACCGAAATACATATATTAGTTTTCTTACGATCGACTTTAGGAGAAAGAAAAGAATTATTAGAATTGATTAAGTAGTGCGGAATCTATTTATTTAATACAAACAATCTTCCTATTTATAAATGAGTAATAGATAAAACATATTCTATTAATTACACTAGTCTTAACCTACGCTTCTTCTGTAGTAAATTTAAAAAAAATGTAAAATTTTCTCAAAAAACATAGAGAATTCAGATTTGGACATTTGCAAATGCCTTAACAGATTTTAGTAGTAATTTTAATGTCAAAGTCATATTGATTTTCTTAAATTCACATTGAACGTGGGTAGACAACTGGTAACGCAGCGAACGTACAGTTTTGTTTTCTAATTTATTTCACGTCGGTATTTTTTAATGATTTTTGTAGTTATTATTCCATGAGACAAATAATTCAATCACTACAGGTTATTTATCCGGTTCTGAATTGAGAATTTAAAGTAAAGCACGTCTCAAGCCGTACTTAAACCATCTTAAAAGTCACTCAAACAGGTTGTCGTTTCTGATTTTAACTTTCTTCATGATGAATTGATAGCGTTTTGATAAAACTAGGACTTTTTGCAAAGTGGAACGTAAATAACTTAACTTATTGAGATTATACACTTTCTTCAATTCAGAAACAGGCCGATAGTCATGTCTGCTACTCAATTTTTTTAACAGACATCAAAAGGGGAAGGTTCACAATCGGATTGATTGATTTTTTAATTTGTAATGTTGTTGCACTGATGGGCGGCTCGGCATGCGAGTCTTGTTTAAATGAAATTCCTAAAAGCCTTTCATTAAAATGCAATTGAATATACCGAAACCACTAAAAACACAAACACACATATATGTAAACACATCATTCATGATTCAGATATTTTAATTTTAAAATTATTATTCTTATACTGAATTTGTAAGCAAATCTGATCCTTATATGTTATTACTTTTGGACTATCGTCAGTTAAAAGTATTTTTTATTATTATTATATTACCTACATGATGTCACACTGAAGTATAAATTTTTTTGTGCATTTTTGTAAGTATTAAATCACCTCAAGGAACCTACCTATTCAAAGTAATGCCAACCCTCAGCGCTCCTTTGATGTGCCATATAGGTATATATTTCGAGATATGTCTCTCGTGTTTACGTGTGTACATTGTTTTAAGGGCGGTTAGGGGTTGAATATATTAATGTCTGGTACATCCACTTGCTGTCAGATTTTATTACGACCAATGAGGAGTGAACAATTTGACAACGTTAATAAATGTTAAGAGTTTATTATTATTTTAGAAGTCAACATGGGAATACATTATAAAGAGCGTGCGAGTATTCAAGCGGAGTTCGTACGTTCGATGTGGGATTGCACAAGTTAAGTTACTTTCGCAACGGTCTGTTATGAGATGGGTGATCAAAAATTTAACTTATTTTAAGGCAACTTTAATAGACTTTTATAATGGAGTAACTTTAAGTAGCTTTTTTTCCTTTACTATTGTCAATAATTTTACCCAACATACATTTTTAGCGTATTACAAACCACTAAAAAACTAATTTGTGTGCCAAAACTCGCTATGTTAGTATTTAGGTTTTACATAATTATTTGAACATTTGCTATTCAGTATAGTTTTTTCATTATGTGAATTAATATGTGATATAATTTTTCGGATAAATGCGCGTTGAGTTATCGTGTACAGCTACTTTTTTAAGGATAAGTAATACTAGCCAGTCATCTTAGATATCTGATATGTTAGATATCTGACAAAACTACTTTAAAAAATCTTAATGAAAGTGAAAAATTCACAATTTTTATTGACATTTGTCCGAGCCCTCCGCCGTACTTCAAAAGAAGTCTCCTGAATTATCCTTCACTTTTACTTTGATTTTTTTTTTTAACTAAGTATTCAAGATATTTTTATTTTATTATTGACATGTTGTCAATTATGTTCATTGAATCTCAAACTATGCCCATTCAATGTTACGCTGTCCAAACAAATACATATTTCTAATTTGTTTTTTACCTGTTATATAGATATTATTTATATATACTAATATTATTAAAAGGAATGTTTATATGCATTGAATAGGCTCCAAAACTACTAAATCAATTATTAAAATTCTTTCATTTACGGGAAAATACGTCATACGTGGGCGACATAGAATTGTAATTTCCGCGGACGAAGTCTTGGGTTTACATCTAGTCAATAGTCAACAAATAGAATCATAATCAAGTACCGCAGAAAACGTCATGTTGACATAAATATTTTTCATGTTGATATAAACATTGTTTAAAAACATGGGACCTGATTTTAATCCTATACAGATCCCTTATTCAAAAATGCAACTGTTAACTAGAGTAAATCGTTAAGTCTTCTCAGTAACGATCCTCAACTAAAGTATCAACCCTAATATTCGCGGTTTAAACTCGCACAGTGAAATGATCTCTATCTGACGCATGGTAATGTTCGATTTCGTTTACTTGTGCACGGGTAGTGAGAGGGTCAATGGTTGTCACAGGGTCATATCGGGCCAGAACATGCGTTCCCGTAGCAAATCACTTCCGGGCCACTAAATCCAGGGTAAATTAATGCATTTAGCACGCTCCCCGCTCTCTTTGACTGGGGATGACAACTTCATTTCATTGTATCGCTATATTTTCTTGTCACTTACCCTGGTGAAGGGAGTTGTGTGATTTTTTTGCGTGCAACATTCTATATTGCGGTTGGCAACGCGAATATTCAGAGTTCAAAAATAATTGAATTACATTTTCTATATTGTTTATAGAAACTTACATTAGTTCTAGAAAATCATTTATTTATTACACTAATATGTGTACACTATCAAAATTAAAGTTTTTTAATGTAGCTAGTTCGAATTTCGAAAGAAAGCAATTCTTAAATCTATGGCAACAATCAAATATTGGAGGAAAACTATTTTTCCGCTTCTATAATTGGAGAGTCTTACCTAAATTATCGTATACTATGAATAGCCTGTTAAAGGGAAATTTTATAAATTGCAAAATAATGCTATAATATAAATGAAGAAAATATCGTATCAACTAAGTAATCTACTACAAAAATCTAAAACGTGATTCATATTTTTTGAACCTTTGTGTTTCGTTTTAATATAACCCGATCAAGATTGCATTCGCAAACGCAATAATCGCGTCAATAAATAGCCGTTTCAATATAGAGATTTAAAATATCATTAAGCATCATATCAGAGACGGCGATCTCACGGGCAACAAATTGTAACAAAGGAGGACAGCAAAGAAGATTATCGTAGATGACGCGTGCCGCGCACGTGACACGCATGTGGTTGGTTATAGGCGAATTTACCCTACCATTCTATAAACATACAAAAACTTCCTTTACGCACATTCATTTTAAGCTCACATTCGTTAATCAAAGTCACAAATAATATGAGTAACTGTACGTTAGTTAAAAATGGAATGTATTATCATGAGATTTAGTGATATTTTCGTATGGGTTTAGAGATAGTAAAAAAGTAAGAAGTGTTGGAGAGAAAATAATACCACAATTCGAAGGATTTAAAGCTTACATTGATGTTGAGTGGGTAATCGGAAGAGTAAATATAAATATATATTGTATGATATATGCGGTTACTGTCTGTCACTTGCAATATCGCCCCTGGAAAGCTTTAAATGTTAAATTTTCTTTTGGCAACAATAAAAAATGTTTGTTTTTTATAATTACACTAGTAACGTAACTTTTATTTTTTAATATTTAAAACCCCTCAAGAACCCTATTTTGTTTATTTGGGTCAACTAACTATACGATATAATGTACGAAGTTTTATAATGGTAAATCCCGCACCATAACCACAGCTTACAATAAGTAGTTGAAGGTTACTTATTTTCTATGATTGTGTTATTATGGGTATTATTCTGCGTGATGAAATAGATATGATCTTATATTTTTATTTCGTAATTGTATGATAAATAAAGACTAAATGAAAGACAAGAAGACCGTATGATCCTTACAAAAAAAGGTGGTTGTCTGAGATTACGTATAATAGTAAAATCCGCTAAATGCTTTTTGTACATAGTGAACGTTTACCTTTTAATAACGTGTTTTTTGCCAACATAATTGCGATCCTTTTTTGTTAAAAATTCGATGATCTTTCTGGGTATCGGTGAAGAGAATTCTCCTGTATACGTTTCTGGGCAACTATCACTTGCAAATGAGTCTCTCCATGCTTCAGCGCGATTGATCTGTAAGGAATAGAAGCATAAAGTTTGGATTCGAATCGTGACCATTATTTCATGTAAAACATCAACCGGCGCTGGATTCAAGAGGTATGAAAGTAAAATGTATGGACAAAAAATCTATAACTCAATCATTTTAACATGTAAATACGATGTTATTTGTCTAAGCGAGACTTGGCTTGACTACTATGTGTCCTCTCCGGAGTTGTTTGATAACAAATAATATATAAACATTTCTTGCAAAGTTCGGCCTTAGGAATCTTAGGTAAAACTTGAAAAGAAACACGGGGTTGGCGTACGTGTACGTATAGCTATTAAAAATAATACTATGTGTGCTCATAAGCCAAAGTGGCAAACATCAACTGAAGATATCTAGATCTCAATGAAATATCAGAAGATTAACTTTAGTTCGGTTTATTTGCCTATTTGACTGAGGAACAATACTTCGAGTTTATAGCGCACATATAGTTTTGACATAGTGAGATCGTACTGGTATTTTAGGAGACTTCAATTTATCGGATATGAATTGGGAGTTGACAACGCAAACGTCAGAATATAAGGTCAGTGAGCAACAGTCCTTGCGCGACTTAAGACCTACCTAGGCATGTTTGAATCATTTGTAGTTAAAATCGCTTCAGTTGCTGGACGATTTCTCACTCAGAATTGATAATCCTCGAAAGCAGAAGCTATTTCGTTACCTGTATGTAACAAAAATGTAATTTTTAATGATCCAGTTTTACATATGTAGAGCTTGTAAATAAGTAATGAAAAATAACAAATACAGTAGAGTCCGTTTGATATGACACCGCCTATAGTGACCAACGGCCTATTATGAGGTAATTACAAAACGAAGTTTGGTTTTCATATAAAATTCTTTAAAAAAAGTCGGATTAATGAGTTAGCTTATAGTGACATGTCGGTTATTACGACCCATTTTTAATAATTTTTTTCCGGTTATAATGACCGTCATGACTTTTTACGCTTCCAATAATATTCGGTGATTCCCGGCGTCGTTCCGCACGTGGCTAACTTGAAACTGATGGAGAAGAGGAAGTCGAAGAAGAACCATTACCTACCGCTACGATACGCTTACGATTTGTATGAACAAATCGTGATAATAATTCTGCAGTCTTTAATGCATTTTCAAAATTACTATAAAGTAATATTGAAAATGCTAATTTGACCATGGCGATGTCTTCTTTAGACAATGCTATTAGAGAATGTTATTACAATAAAATAAAAAAAAACAAAAGCAGGCAAAAATTATAGATTGCTTAGTTAAAAAATGAAAAATACATATATTACATACTTAAATGTATCGTTTATACTTTTTACTTGTATTTTTTATGCTCTATTAAAAATATTAAAAAACATACATAATTTTAATTACATTACAAAAAATTGACACCAAACCCTTTGTTTGACATCCGCTGATAATGACGTGTTTGTCAATTCCCTTCGATGTCATTATAAACGGATTCCACTGTA